TAATAATATTGTTATTAAATAAAATTAATTATGATGAATGAATAATGTTTTGTCACATTATAATCGATACCTACTCAATATTATACTACAATAGGTTGTAACGTCACAGCATTTTTTGCATTCATATTATTACAATAACAAACATACCTGTACCCATATTGCCACTAATGAGCGTACCTTATTGATAAATTATTACGATTATCGCGCGCTATTGCAGAAATGACCGCAGTATTATGTAATTATTGTTCCCCGGCCCCCACAAACCCGCAGTGCACGGTGTCCTCATGTCGCCACACACGGCCGCCGTTGCTGTCGGCGCTTTTGTCGCGTCCGACGGCACCGCACCGGCAGAACAGTCCTGAACGACCCAAACATATTGTACATTCCCACACAATGACGACACTGATCTGCCCCACCAACGAAAAGAAAAGCTCCGCCGCCGGCAACAAGCCACCGTCGTCGCCGGGTTTCCGTGTCAGCAAACTCACTCTTTTTACGGCCTTTCACCTGCCTGGACGCCTGGTTAACGTCTCCACACCTGCCCGGTCGACTTCATACACTCGTCTTTGTAAAACGACCTGCAGACCACGAGGCAACCGAGTTGATCGGCAAACAACCCACTCCCGAGAATCGTTTTCAACTACCGTCAACATACTGGGACACCTGCGATCGCTCACCATGATGGGCTGAGTGAACCACGAGGGCCCGGGCGGCGGCCACAACTGCTCCAGCTTACAACATCAACCACGCAGCTCGTCACATCAAAATACCAAATGTCGTAATATGTTTTTATTTCCCCTGTCCCCCCTTTCCCGGCACGATTTCCCGGTAACCCTGCGAGGACACACCATGAGTAATATGGTGTGTCGCCTCCGGCGGGCCGGGAAAGCATGCGACCAAAGTTAAATTATATTGTTTGCATATGCCATGTGCCACCAAATTATATTGTTTGCATTTGCCGTGCGCCAAAATTACTAGATCATTGTTATATTATTCTTAATCTTTATAATGTTTAAATTTCAATTTCCCCTTGTAATGCCAATTTAATATATCCACGTGATTACCCTAAAACTTTTCTATTATTCTATATTATTTTCCCCTTCAATAAATCCTCGGCATTCACTTGCCGTTGCGTGTTCAAAGCCTGTGAGCTCCACCGACTTAGCCCTTGGGTCATCACGCGGTGCGGCTCACAGGTCGCGACAAAAGTGTTCCCCTTTTGTCGTGGGTGGTTTATGGAGCCCTAGAAAGCTCCGTATTCTCTCATATGGCGACCGTGACAGGACTCATGTCCCAATCCCCTTTGTAATTAATAATATTTTTTTTTTTCTCTTTTCTCTAAAATCACTCTTAAAATTAAAAACCACGCTATCAAAATTTAAAATATTAAAATCTCTTCTTTCTATGGCAAATAAAGTTAGGTCTAAAACATATAAATTTTTCTTTCTGGCAAGCACATGGCAAAAAATAAATTATCCATTTTCATCTTTAAAACTTTTCACTTCTTAACATTAATAACTCTTAAAATCGAACCGCCCAAACTCCCTACTCGTGCTACTCCCCAAAAATCCCATATTTTTATTAAATTAAATTATTTTAATATGACGAAAATTTTATACTCTTGCAAGAGATCTCTCAATATTATTATTACATTAAAATTACCTTTACAGTCATATTATTATTCTCATTTACCTATGGTAGAAAAAAAAATATATTGTAAAATTAATATGCAGAATGATGCAACACCTACCAAGGTAACATTATTATTATTCTCTTTTTATGTCCCCCCTGCTGAAAAGTTGTTATCCAGTAATTATTTCAGAAATTGTTCCTGCTCGGTGTGTGCGTGCTGGCTGAGGATGCGGCAGAGGCGTTTGACAAGTGACGGATTTGGCCTGACAGCTGCGGCGACTAGGAACCGGACACTGCATACGACCCGTCTTTTCCCCTTGGTATGTCTTTTATATTTTCCCCTATTGTTCCCCCCTTAATTATGCTCCCTAAGACCCGTTTTTTCCTCCCTCACATAACACTGCCAGGTTCATTTCTGTAGGAACGCGCGATAACTCTTGTTTTTCCCCAGACCACATGGTCAACTTTATATTATTATAACTCATATTCTTGTAAAAACCTCATGGTCAAATTTATTATATTATATTAAAATCTGCGGATTGTCAATGTTATTATGCTCATTAGCTTATTAAAATTATTATTATTTCAAATGTAGAAAATTAAATATTATACCTTGGTACACAACAAAAATTATTATATTATAACTCAAAATACATTTTTATTCTCATTTTCAACTACAAATACTGTAAGAAAAGTAAATTATAGGATATCAAAAAACTTAATGCTTATTAAATCAAATATTAACAATTATATTAAAAAACATTAGTAAAATATTAAATATTCACTCATTCTTGTAAAAGTAATCAAACTCATTATTCAAACTGTTAACTTTAAAATTTAAAACTATTATTCTCTTGCAAGCTGTGTCCCCATAACTAGTTTATTTAAAATATTCACCATTTCCCCTATTATTTAAAACCATTAGTATTATTATGTTTCCCTTGTTATAAAATGTTTCCCTTAATATAAATTTTACTATACGACTATATAACGACTGATGTGCTGCTAGGTAGCTTGAAGGCTAGGTAGTGTGTCCTGCTTAGGGCCCCATTATATTACATATTATAAATTATAAATTAAATCTATTTCTTTTTGACTATCTCAAAGTTATTATCTTCATATTAAACTTAGTATTATTATCTGTCTTAGGACATTTAGTCAACTTTTATATTAAAATATCATATTTCCTTTAGTATAACCTGTTATAATTAATTATTATTTTGTTAAATTAAAATTGATTTTCCCCTATATTATTTACCTTGTAGTATAACAATCTATATTACATTTTTATTATTATTATTAAATTACTCTTTCTGGTACGCTTAGTGTACCACTATTTAAATATTCTCTTATTAGTACTTTTATTATTTCACTGTTACTGTGGTCACACTTAAATTAATTATCACTTATTATTATTACTATTCTATTCTTATTTTGTTTATGAATTGGTGCTACGCATAAGGAGGTTTATTGTATAGTATTATTTTAATACTTGGACCAGTTCTCCACTTTATTGTTTAGCAACAATTTTTCATTTTATAATTACTTTAATATAACTATTTAATATTTTCCAATATTTTCCCCTATTACTATTACACTATTTAAATTAATATTATTTAAAAAAAAAAAAAATTTTATTATTGTTTTATTAAGTCACCTTTACTTTGGTTTCTTGATATTTTATTTATCATTATATTATCTTATTAATTCAATCTCCTAAAAGGTTCTGTTAACTATTAAACTACTTTAAAAAAAAAAAAAAATTATCATTATAAAATATTTTAAAACATTTCCCTATTCTATTACTTTAATTATTATAAATATTTTTTTTTTTTTTTTTTTGCTCTGCCCACTAAGCTAGCTGGTTCTTAAACTCTGGTGTTTATTCGTGACTGATCCATGCATAGTGCTGGTCAACGCCGGACCAAACAGCCTGATAGGTTCAATCCCTCCAATTATTACCCCTCCCCCATACTTCCTGCCACTGATTTTGATATCACCATGTCAGGTACTGAAGATGCAAATCAATCCCTAGTAGGAAACCCCTCCCTCTCTTTAGAGTCGTTGGCCCAGTTAATATCCAACATGTCTGATGCGTTCAACTCTCAGCTCGATAATGTCTCCCGGAAGTTCGGTGAACTCGACGCGCGCCTGGATGAACTATGTCTTAGAATCGATGACAATGACTCTGAAGTCAACGTTAAGTTCACACAATTTCAATCCTCAGTCAACAAAGATCTCATTGCCATACAAAACGAAAATTCCCAACAACAACAGCGGACCCAAGAATCCCAAAAATGTGCAATCAATTCCCAACGCGCGCTTAGTGACACCATCAGAGCCCTCGGAGATAGGATCAGCCTTGTCGAAGGTCAAAGTGCCAGGCTAGCTGCTCTGGAAAATAAATTTCAAAATTCTGTCCCTCTAGTTTCCCCCCCAATAACCTGTTCACAGTCAATGCCTCAGGTTTCCTTTAATAGTATCTTAACTTCCACTACCGTCGCTCATCCTATTCCAACACAATCCGCTATCCCTTCAAATACTTCTAGTTTTTCCGCCCCTAATTACAATATATCATTTCCTAACCAAACCACGTCCACAATAAATAATACCACCCTTTCCAACAGCACTGGCATTAGCCTCGATTCTGCAAAGCTTCCCCCCTATGATGGTCAACTCATTCCAGTTCACCCTGAGGAGTTCATTGAACAGGCCGAACAATATTTTCTCACCCAGCCCCCAGTCCCCGATAATGTCAAAATTAATTATATAAAGTCTAAATTCGTCGAAGGTGCCCGTCTCTGGTATACCACTCTACTTCCCCCCCCAACAAATTATCAAGATTTCTTAGTATTGTTCCGTAATCAGTTCTGGTCACCCAATCAACAGCGCGCGATCCGCAACGAACTCTATCGCCCCTACTTCCACAGAGACTCAACATCTCTGCAGAAGCACGCGATGGATTGGATCAGCAAGGCCCGGTTCTTGCAACCACCAATCGATCAGGCCGAGATGGTTGATCAGATCACTTCCCACTTCACCTTTAACATTTCCATTGCCCTCAGAGGTCTCCGTATCACCACCACTAATGAACTCGTTCAACAACTCTCCCACATTCAGCAAGCTCATTCCCCTCCAAATAATCAAAATAGTCAAAATGCACCCTCTTATCAAAATCAAAATAGTCAAAATGCACCCTCTTATCAAAATCAAAACCGAAATTCATTTAACAATTCTTCTGGCCCCAATCAACAAAACAGATATTCTCCTCGTCAAAATAACTATCAACGCCCTCAATATAATTCTCAAAATCAATCCGCCCCAACTCCCCCTACCACTACCCCTCCTCCGGAAAACTAGGTCTGACCATGCCCGCGAGGATGTGCACTGTGTCCTCTTCTAATATCAATCCTCATAATATATCAATACTCACCCACCCACTAGCTTCTCTCCCCGATTTCGAACAAACACCTCCTCCAAATTACCGCCCCGAAATTCCCATCACTCTCTTTAATAAATCTCACAATGCTCTCTTAGATTCTGGCGCAACTGTCTCTGCTATCTCTGAAGACCTTTTTAAAATATTAAATCAAAATTCTGACCCAAACGCAATTCCCCTCTTTCCCCTCACAGGCATTCTCTTGACCACGGCACTCAGTCACAAAACAATTAAAGTAAAATCTCAAATCTATTTAAATTTTTATGTTCAAAATTATAAAACACACGGTATATTTCTAGTTGTTCCCCAATTGTCTACACCCTTGATTCTAGGTACCGACTGGTTACTTGAAAACGGGGTGACCATAGACTACAATAGCAAGGAAATCTCCCTCCCCTCTATCAAAGATAACATCCCCTTTAAATTAATTCAAGATAATGATCCAAATAGCTTAGTTAATTCGTTAAAAAATATTATTGTCACTAATGATCCTTTCACCATGTACGAAGGTCCTTCTCACTTAATAAATCAAACCTATCCATTCGAAACAGAAAAAAATATTGCCCTTAATGACATTCCCCTTAATGATTCTCAACACAAATTAATGACCTCCCTCCTTCAAAAATATGATCACATTTTCAAAGACAAACCCGGCCTTCACACTTTCTTCTCTTATAAATTTAATATTAAACCTCATGACCCCTATAAAATTAAACCGTACCCTGTACCCTTCTCTCGTCGTCCCGCCGTACAAAAAGAAATTGACAAGATGATTAAGTGGGGGGTGATCGAAAGATCAGATTCCCCGTACAATAATCCCCTTGTTACTGTAATAAAAGCTGACGGCACACTACGTTTGTGCTTGGACGCTCGTAAATTAAATACTATTATTCTCCCCACTCGAGACGCTTCCCCCCCAATCGATGATATCCTAGCAAAATTTAATAATAAATCCTTTTTCTCTTCTCTTGATTTTTCCTCTGGCTATTGGCAAATCCCACTCGACCCCTCGGTTCGTCAGTACACCAGTTTCCTCTACGACGGAAGGTCCTACCAATTTTGTGTAGTGCCTTTTGGGTTAAATATTTCCAATGCAGCCTTTGGGAAAGGATTAGAAGCCGCCCTAAATAATTATACTAGCCCCTGTCCCTCCCCTAATGACATTCATACCTACGTCGACGACATATTAGTATCCTCCCCTTCTTTCGAAACACACCTTGAGACTCTAGAGTGGATTTTTCACAAAATCTCTCTAGCAGGCCTCACTCTAAAATTTAAAAAATGTCACTTCAATAAAAAACAAATTAAATTTCTCGGTCACTTTATATCCCCTACCGGTATGATCATGGACCCCGACAAAGTTAACGCCCTTCAAAATTTTCCCGAACCTCGTAATAAAAAAGATCTCCAATCGTTTTTCGGCTTCTGTAACTTCTATCGTAAATTCTCACAAAATCATTCTTCTCTCTTACACCCCCTTTCTCATCTCATTTGTAAAGACACCCCCTGGATATTCACCGAACAAGATAAAATAGCTTTCCAAAAAATAAAAACTGCTTTCTCCCTTCAAATATCATTAACTCACCCCGATTTTAATATTCCCTTCTGTATCCAAACCGATGCCTCGTACATAGGACTTGGAGCAGAACTTTTCCAAATTAACGCTGCGGGCCAACGCGATACCCTGTCGTTCGCAAGTAGGTCACTGTGTGGTGCCGAAAGGAACTACACAGTGACTGAACTAGAGCTGCTAGGTATTCTGTTTGCCTGTCAGAAATTCAAAATTTATATTCTCGGCCACCCAATTAATTTATATACTGACCATAAAGCTTTAACATTTCTCTTCTCTTGCAAATTAAAAAACTCCCGTCTCACCCGTTGGACTCTTGCACTCCAAGAGTTTGATCTCAAAATTATTCACTGTCCTGGGAAAGACAATCCCATAGATACCCTGTCAAGACACCCCCTTGGTCGCGACGATCAACCACCCAAAGACTCCCCCAGTATTCTACATTATACTCTCCCCCCACCTATTCCTCCCGACATTATTTCAATATTTAACAATATCTCATCTGAACAACAAAAAGACCCCCGCTTAAAAAATATCATTATTAAATTAAAATCAAATCACCCACCAGTCTGGAAGCAATATTATACTTTGAAAAAAGACACTTTATTTATTCGAACAACCAAAGCTAACACCCATTGGTCCCTTTATATTCCTGACCACTTGGTCAAACAAGTTGTATTATTATTCCATTATTATTATGCCCACACTGGTCCCCTTAAAACTGCTCATACTTTAAAAAATATTTGTTATTTCCCCTCATTTCATAAAACCGTCCGTTGTGTCGTACAGGCATGTGAGTTGTGTCAGAAGTGCAAGCCGAAGACCACTCGCATTGCCGGTCCGTTACAACCCATTCTCTCAAATAAGCCCCTTGATAAATTATTAGTCGATTTTTATGGTCCCCTCCCTACCGGTATTTTTCAATTTTCCTATATATTCGTCATTGTAGATAACTTCACCCGTTTTGTAAAATTATATCCCCTCCGATGCGCCAACGCAAAAATATGTATTAAAAAATTAACCACGGATTATTTCCCCAAGTACGGTGTCCCAAAAAATATTGTATCCGATCATGGTAGGCAGTTCATAAGTAAATATTGGCAAACCTCCCTTCAAAAATATAACGTACAAATGTCCCATACCAGTATATACCATCCCCAATCGAACCCCGCAGAGCGTGTCATGCGAGAACTTGGTCGAATGTTTCGCACATACTGCCACGAACGACATTCCCTCTGGCCCCAATATGTACCTTACATAGAGTGGACATTAAATAACATTCGCCACGAATCGACACATCACACCCCCTCTGCCCTCTTTCTTCAAAGTCATCAACACAATCCCATCACTCAATTTATACAGTTTCCTCACGAAAATTATCCTGTAGATTTCAACAAACAATTAATATTAGCACAAGAAGTACAACTCTCAAAAGCCGAATACCGTAAAAAATATCAAAAAGAACGTCTCAACCCCACTTTTTTCAAAATAAATGATCTAGTCTTAGCCCGAACACATAAACTCAGTAATAAAATCGACAAAAAAATATCTAAATTCTTCTTATTATACGATGGTCCCTTTAAAGTAAAAAATGTCAAAAATGTCAACGCCTATGAATTAGTCAACCCAGATGATGATACGCCCCAGGGTACTTACAATGTCAGTCAGCTCAAACCATACATACCCCCAGTAACTTAAACTGTTCAAAATTAATAATTTTACCAAAATAATGTTTTTTTTTTATATCTTAAATTGTATACGAAATTGGTGGCCCAACTTGTGCTTTCCGTACTCCATCTAAATGGGGGGTTACCCAGTACATACTGTCGGTATCGACACCGATACTATGTGTGCGTCGTGCTAAAGCACACAAATGTGCTGCGAACATGATTGTGGAAACAATCAAGCCCGGGTCATTTAATTCGTTTACTTCCGCGTTGTCCCCCCCTTTTTTCCCCTTAACACCCCGCCTTTGTCTGTCTCTCTTATACCTTCTTTCGAATTCGTTGTCCCCCCAGCTCGGTAGGGCCCCCGTCGTACAGGGAGTACTGATACTACTCTCTGTCCGGCAAAGAGTCTGAGACACTCTTCTTTTTAATTTAACCGGTGTTGTGGTGACGCCCCGTCCCAGTGAGGGTCCGGGCTTGGTCGGCCGAGTGTGGTTGCCATTGGGGCCTAGCGGGTAGTCTCCTACGCGTTCACATACGGCTGGCGTAAAAACCAGCTGTCCCTGTGCGCGTTTAAGTAGGGGGCCCCGAACCACACTTACCACCACTGACCCGCGGCTCGATGATCTGGAGGGTGACTTCCCGCAAGGGGGTAAAGGAGCCACCAGACCCCGCCTCTTGACCGCTCTTTCACCACAACATGCAGGAACATTCTCGTTAGCCCCCCTTAATAATGTTAGGTCCCACCATGGCTTGCCATGCGTGTCAAAGTAAAATGTCCAGAGTAACCAATGCAGTGCAAGGTCCGTGTTATCTTGCCTGTACACAATAGTTTTATTTTTATTTTTTTTGTCTTCTCCCTTCCATACTAAGTCCCCATAGTATGGTCGTACCTGTGACAGTCGTGACCCCAGTAAAGGCATAGACTGTCTCAGAGACCCTTTGTCCCTTCCATATCAAGTCCCCATAATATGGTCGTACCTGATACAGTCGTGACCCCAGTTAAGGCATAGACTATACCAGAGGTTTTTTTTTTTTTCTCTTCCCTAGTTAGGTTTTCTTTTTTTTCTACTGTCCCCGTTAGGAATATAGTGGTTAGTGGTATCATCATCTCTCTCCGGACTAGTCCCTCAATTATATTTGATAGGTTTTTTATTATTATAATGTGTTCGCACTAATGTGCTGGTTTTTTATTATTATTATATACTGTGTGCGCACAGATGTGTAGGTTTTTTTATTATATTATTCTTGTGATGCTAGTACCCTTACCACTCATACTCCCTAACCCAACTTGATTATTCTTTTATGGTTGCAAATTTTATTATTATATATTCGATTATTATTATGATGTCCCTAATTCAAATGTTAAATTCCCTCTAATTGCTAGTCTATGGTCATTCCCAAAAAATTCTGCCCTCTTACTCTACAACAAATGGTTCTCAGGTATTCTTGCAGACACCTTCAACAATTTGTTGGGGGGGTTCTGTAACGTCACAGCATTTTTTGCATTCATATTATTACAATAACAAACATACCTGTACCCATATTGCCACTAATGAGCGTACCTTATTGATAAATTATTACGATTATCGCGCGCTATTGCAGAAATGACCGCAGTATTATGTAATTATTGTTCCCCGGCCCCCACAAACCCGCAGTGCACGGTGTCCTCATGTCGCCACACACGGCCGCCGTTGCTGTCGGCGCTTTTGTCGCGTCCGACGGCACCGCACCGGCAGAACAGTCCTGAACGACCCAAACATATTGTACATTCCCACACAATGACGACACTGATCTGCCCCACCAACGAAAAGAAAAGCTCCGCCGCCGGCAACAAGCCACCGTCGTCGCCGGGTTTCCGTGTCAGCAAACTCACTCTTTTTACGGCCTTTCACCTGCCTGGACGCCTGGTTAACGTCTCCACACCTGCCCGGTCGACTTCATACACTCGTCTTTGTAAAACGACCTGCAGACCACGAGGCAACCGAGTTGATCGGCAAACAACCCACTCCCGAGAATCGTTTTCAACTACCGTCAACATACTGGGACACCTGCGATCGCTCACCATGATGGGCTGAGTGAACCACGAGGGCCCGGGCGGCGGCCACAACTGCTCCAGCTTACAACATCAACCACGCAGCTCGTCACATCAAAATACCAAATGTCGTAATATGTTTTTATTTCCCCTGTCCCCCCTTTCCCGGCACGATTTCCCGGTAACCCTGCGAGGACACACCATGAGTAATATGGTGTGTCGCCTCCGGCGGGCCGGGAAAGCATGCGACCAAAGTTAAATTATATTGTTTGCATATGCCATGTGCCACCAAATTATATTGTTTGCATTTGCCGTGCGCCAAAATTACTAGATCATTGTTATATTATTCTTAATCTTTATAATGTTTAAATTTCAATTTCCCCTTGTAATGCCAATTTAATATATCCACGTGATTACCCTAAAACTTTTCTATTATTCTATATTATTTTCCCCTTCAATAAATCCTCGGCATTCACTTGCCGTTGCGTGTTCAAAGCCTGTGAGCTCCACCGACTTAGCCCTTGGGTCATCACGCGGTGCGGCTCACAGGTCGCGACAAAAGTGTTCCCCTTTTGTCGTGGGTGGTTTATGGAGCCCTAGAAAGCTCCGTATTCTCTCAAGGTATAGTGTAATAAATAGTATTCAAAATAAATGTATAGGTAGTTATATAAAAAGTAAATATGTTAATAGCATAAATCCAAGACTGGGCATTAACAAATTCAAAGTTAAAATTAAGTTAAAACGTTAATTACCTTAGGTAACTCGTTAGTTTTTTTTCAAATTAACTTTTAACTTAATTTTAACTTTGAATTTGTTAATGCCCAGTCTTCATTAAATTAACTAGATCATCTCTCACCCCTGGCAGATCAAATTGGACTAAATTTAGAAACATAGTCTCTGACAAAATTAGTCTTAAACTCTCCTTAAAAACTACTCTTGAAATAGACCAAGCCGTTCAATTTTTAACCACCACAATCCAAGATGCTGCCTTGGCCTCCTCAGAAGACAACCTCCATCCCATAAAAAACTCAAAAATTCCTCCTCACATCCAAAGTTTAATAGCCGAAAAGCGTAGAGCTAGAGCTCAATGGCAAAGATTCAAATACCCCATAGACAAAGCCAGACTTAATTACTTAAAAAACAAGCTAACCAGAGCTTTCCAAAATCACAAAAATGAAAGTTATCATTCCTACATTCAAAACCTCTCAACCAAAGATTCGTCACTGTGGAAGGCTACAAAAAAATTATTAAACCACAAGCAGCCACCTCCCCCAATTCACAATTCCGACAATACATGGGCCACCTCAGACACCGAAAAAGCAAACGTTTTTGCATCCCACCTCGCTTATGTTTTCAAGCCACATGACATTTGTCCAAACCAAACTCAACTCACACGTATTGAGCAATCACTAAATTCCCCCCTTCCTATGGCTCTCCCTGCTAAGCACACTAGCCCTGGCGAAATTATGCACATTATAAAAAATCTTCCATCTAGAAAAGCCCCAGGCCACGACTTGATCAGTAATTTCATAGTCAAAAATCTCCCTAATAAAGCTGTCCTCTTTCTCACCCTCATATTCAACTCATTACTTCGCCTATCTTACTTCCCCAGTATCTGGAAACATTCAAATATAATTCTTATCTCTAAGCCCGACAAGCCACCGCAACTTCCCACCTCTTATAGACCAATAAGCCTCCTTCCCACTTTCTCAAAAATGTTTGAAAAAATACTTCTGAAAAGACTTCTCCCACTGTCAGACAAAGCTAACATCATTCCACATCACCAATTTGGGTTCAGGGCTAAACACTCAACCACCCACCAACTCCTTCGTACTGTCGACTTAATATCTACTAGTATGGAATCCAAGCACTACTGTGCTGCCGTCCTGCTAGACGTGGCCCAAGCCTTCGACAGAGTGTGGCATGATGGCCTACTCTATAAACTTAAAAAATTTCTCACTGCTCCATATTACCTTATTATCAAGTCTTATCTTGAAAATCGAACCTTCTCAGTTAGAGTGAACAACAGCTACTCGGTTAACTTTCCTATCTTGGCTGGCGTCCCCCAAGGAAGCGATATAGCGCCTTTCCTTTACACCATATTTACACATGACACTCCGAAAACTTTACTTACATCATTAGGCACATACGCCGACGATACAATAATCCTGGCCTCAAATGACAACCCTCAAACTGTGTCTGATAGGTTACAAAATCATCTAAACATGATCCAGATCTGGTCAAAAAAATGGAAAATAAAAATAAATTACTCCAAATCCTCCTTTATTACCTTTTCACTAAGACCTGGAGACTGCCCTCCAGTTTCATTCAATAATAACTTAATTCCATCAACCCCTGTAGTCAAATACCTGGGCCTAACGTTTGATAAACGACTCACCTGGGCTCAACACCTCAAAAACAAAAGGAAATCTGTAAACTCTAGACTTCACTTGCTCCGTCCACTTCTCCGCTCCAAACTAAACATCAGCAATAAATTGTTAATCTACAAAGCTATTTTAAGACCTGTATGGGCATACGGTATCCAGATATGGGGCTCCGCGAAACCCTCAAACCTACGAACTATACAAGCCTTCCAATCAATATGTCTCCGTCAAATCGCTTCTGCCCCTTGGTATATAAAAAACGCCAATCTTCACAAAGACTTAAACGTTCCCACACTTTCTCAGCTAACCAAATCCCACTTCCTCTCATTCCATTCTAAGCTTAATCACCATACTAATCCATTAATTAAACGTCTGTCTTCTTGTACAATTCCCGATAATCCTAGAAGAAGATTGAAACGATCTTGGCCTAGAGATTTCCTTGCTTGATCTGTCGGGTGGTACTACTGAGTACCTTCCCTCTCGGTAATTCAACGTTATTGTCAATCAAAAAAAATTACCTATTGTACATATGTTTGTATAGATTGTAATTATTCTTTTAATAAAAATAAAAAAAAAAAAAAAAAAAAAAAAAAAACTTAATAAGTTACTTTTTTCAAGATTAATGTGTTAACTTCAAGTTAATTTTATTTAAAAAATATCTTAATTAAGTTAATTTTTGTCCGAAGAATAATGAAAATGTTTGAATGGGTTTTTACTTTGATGTATCATTTTTAATTTCCCCAGTAATTTTCTCGAGCGTGAAGAAAAACTATCTAATGAACCATATTATGAGCCTATTTTTTTTCATTTTTTTCATTACCAAATTTATCTTTACACTAAATTAAGTTACTTTTTTTTCAAACTTAACTTCAAACTTAACGAGTTACGGAAAAATAATACGAGTAACTTCCAACTTAACTTTATTATTTTAAAATAACTTAACCTAACGAGTTAAAAAAAATCGTTAACTTGCCTAGCCTTGCATAAATCTACCAATCTGCATAGTTGTGAATGGTAAATCCAATTCACTATTTTGGTTTCATCAATAACTTTTTATTTTAAATTTGATAGTGCCCATTTAAAATGTTGGTAAACTATTTCAGTATAAACATTGATTTTTTAATGGTATAAGATATCTACAGTTAGTTTGATTTCGAGTATTTTCGGATTAATTATTAATTTCTATTAAATTTTAAAACGTTAATGTACGTAAGTTGTACACTTATGTAGTGGAGGAGATAAGGACTCTGGTAGAAAAGAGTATATATGTATAATACGTGTTTGAGTAGTATTTACTTACAAGAACAAACACAGAGAGACACTCTGTACATCGTATAACTATACAGTAGACAAAAATGTACTTAATTTAATAAATGTTGTTTAAGTAAAAAATACATCTATAATACAAAAAGCTATATGATTAAATACTTAAATATCATACTTCACTTGAGATTCTATATTATAATTTTGTTTTGTATATTTTTTTGGCGAAATTGTGATGATAAATCTTTTAAGTTTTAATATTGCTTATAATATTTTAAATGTGGTAATTGATAAATAATATTTTTTTAATCATCCAACTAATTCATACTTGTCTCAATATACTAATAATTTAGAACATTATAAATTTAAATTTAAAATTGTTAAAAAATAAATAAAACGATTAGTACATACATTATGCACTTTAAATAATATTTTATATATTTGTGCCATCAAGTTTAGTACTTGTATTTTGTTTAGTGGAATTCATAGATTCTATATATTGTATCATATAAATATTATTTATTAATTTCACCGAAATATTTTTAATCTCAGATAAGGCGGAAACGATCTGGGACCATTATTTCCATTCAAATGAAGCAAACAAGTCCTTCAGATACTTCTTAGACTTACCACCGTCCGTAATCGAAAAATACATAGAGAAAGGTGTGAAACCAAGATTAGCTGATTTATATAAGGGAATGGGAGTGTACGAATTTCCATCAACTGCAATTAACGATGGTACACATTTTAATTTCAACGGTGATGTAGCCGCGGATACGTACCACAAAACGGACATAGATGTCAAACTTCTTAAGGAACTGGGTGTCAGTTTCCAACCACAATTTTATAATTTTCATTTTCAATACTAAACTCTACTAATAAACCAGTGGGTAAGTACTTATTATTATATGATTTCAGGTTCAAGTTTATCGATTTTCCATGACTCCAACTAGAATTATTCCAATGGCTCATGACCATTTACCTGGAAAAGTTGGAATAGCATATTATAATAACCTGATTGACAAATTAATCGAAAATGGAATCACACCAATGGTATTTGAACAATTCTATAGTATCATAATAATATAATATTATAATAAATAATGATAATTATTAATGAAAGGTTTAAAAAAAAATAATAATGTTCCTAACATATTGTACGCACATTAACTAAGAAATAATAATATGTTGTACAGTGTATTAAAATTTCAAATCTTGATTTAGGTAACGTTGTACCACTATGATATGGGGTTGGATTACGTCAAAATTGGAGGACTAACAAACTCGATTAGCTATACATATTATACAAATTATGCGAGAATATGCTTTGAGAATTTTGGTGATAGAGTAAGTACGCGGGTTATAATATTATATTGGTAGAAATTAAATTGTCTAATATAAGTTTGACTAACCAATAATTTATAACCTATAAGGTAAAATATTGGACAACAACATCAGACATCCATTTGGCAGCTGAAGGATATAGTTCTGAGCATTTTGCTCCTGGTTACCAAGAACAAATATTTGGTGGATATTCAGATTATCAAGTATTGCACAACTTTATTAAAGTGAATGCAATGGCTTATAAACTATACAACGAAGAATTCAGAGAAAAACAGCAAGGTAAACAATGATAATATTATATCGACGGTATTTTTTTTTTTTGTTTATTACTAATCTAGTTAATCAGTACCTAATAGGTTACTACATATTAAATAATATAAATTGTGTACATTTTTTTTCAAAATAATGAACAAATATTAAAAACGTACTCACTCATAATGCATGATAACACAATTTCGTTTCAACAAACAACTGCAATAATTATTATGATAATTTCTAAATAATCTGTATTAGGACAAATAAGTTTAGCCATAGATGGAGTTTGGTTCTACCCAAAAGATCCAAATAATCCGGAACATCAAAAGGCTGCTGAATGCGCACGAATTTCAACAGTAATTCTCCATTGAAATATTATTCGTCAGATATTTTAATATTTTTACGATAAATTAAACAAACCTATTTTTTAGTTTGGTTTGGTAGCACATGTGTTGTCTACGGGACAATACCCAGATGCATTTTTAGAGACTATTGACAGGACTAACAAACGAGAAAAAATACGGATGAACCGTGTCGAACAATTTACAAAGGAAGAACAAGAATTAATTAAAGGTATGTACGATACGTCCAAATTACATTTTACTAAACATAAATACACTTACAAGTTGCAATATAGAGCTTATAAAAATATTCTAAGGGAGTTGAATCATGTGCTAATCGACGAGCAACATGGATTCCGTCATGATATTTTATCAATATTCATCGCTGATAATTTTGAAACAGGTCATCAAATAGATTTAATCACTACCTATACTAATAATTTATACAAAAGCCTTTGAGTACAAAAGCCAAAAGTCAATCTCGATATAAACGAACTGGAGCACCTGAATGCTAGCAATTCACTCTTATACCTATTGGATCAAATCGTTTGACACTAAAAGGAAACAATTTTAATTTTTAAATTAGGCTCCTCCTCTGAACTATTTGGATCTATCTCCGGCGTACCTCAGTGTGGTCACCTTAATTCTCTAGTTTTTTCCCTTTTTATAAATTCAATTTCTCAGTAGCCTACTTAAGTAATAAAATTGATTATATCGAAACGATGTATGCATATTTCATACAGGTACTTAGTATAGCAACAGTTCTTTTTTACTAGAGAGAGTCGAGATAAATAAATATTTTTCTAGATGCGGGTTTCTAATTTAGGATTATTTCTAAACTTACCTCAATCATAAGTGTAATGTTATATTTGCTGCACACTCCCATTCTATCTTTGTATGTTCTCAATGGCTTTGAACTAGAACGTGTTACCGACATTTAAGATTCAGTCTTTTAGTTATCGAAAAATCTTAGTTTTAGTCGTTACATCGGCAAAATGGTTAATAGAGAAATTTAAATTCTTTTATTCATAACACAACTTTATTTAGCCAGGTGCCCATATTTTCTTCAATTTTCCCTTGTATGTGTTTTTTTAAAATACGGACCAATAGTTTGTCACACGTATTTAGCTAAGAACCAGTCACTTCTTGAATGTGTTTAAAGTTTAAACTAAGCTGACATTGAATATTCATTACGAACCACACCTATCAATTCGATAAAGCAAATTGTGATTTCTTATCGAAGACATTGGAAATCTCCTTATTGCCATACCACTTCTGTCTCTTCTCATTTTTCTGGAAACCAAAATTATGCAATATAACCTGCACACAAAACTTCATCAGGGCATAACCATAACTTGCATCATATTAATTTATATTTTTAAGGTCTATACTACCTTATCGTATGTATACAGGGTGATTCTTTTATCATTGAACACTCATTATTTCAAAAAGTATTAATGTTTAAGAAAATATTTTTTTACATAGTTTCAAGTTGTTAAAAAACAATATTTTTAAATATTTTTTATCCTTTTAATTTTTTAAGTTTTTTACTTTTTTGAATGACAACATGTAATTTTAATTTGATATTCAAAAACAGAATATTTTTCTGAGTATTTCGATACATAAAAATTGAATTTAGGGCAATTAGTTTATGAGTTATAAGTATTTAAAGTTTAGATGAGCGGAGTAGAGTGGTACGGGGTTACCCCGCGAAATGTTTGTCCACTACTCCGCTCATCTAAACTTTAAATACTTATAACTCATAAACTACTTGCCCTAAATTCAATTTTTATGTATTAAAATACTCAGAAAAATATTCTGTTTTTGAATATCAAATTAAAATTACATGTTGTCATTCAAAAAAGTAAAAAACTTAAAAAATTAAAAGGATAAAAAATATTTAAAAATATAATTTTTTAATAAAAATATTGTTTTTTAACAACTTGAAACTATGTAAAAAAATATTTTCTTAAACATTAATACTTTTTGAAATAATGAGTGTTCAATGATAAAAATATCACCCTGTATAATATTTACTATTTAGTAATAAGTTTTATGTGTTTCTTTGTATATTCATTTATCTTACTTAATAATCATATAATGTCTTATTTTGATTAATCTTTCCTCCTGTTTATAAGTATACTCATGTTAAATTGTCACTTGTTGTTAATGAACCAATAATAATAATAAAACTAACAATTTCAGAAATAAGTCGGTTAAAGCTACCTACTGGTAGGTACTAAAAACCGTTGACATTTTTGGTGACATTAGATTTTAGTCACAAGAATACAAATTATTTTTTTAGTAGTAAGTACTCTAAGTATTAGGGAAAAAAAATTGTCAATTTTGCCAAAGATTCAAATATTATTAAATAGTTTTGGACATTACACTAAAATGTCCAAACTTTTGTTATAGGGTCATACGATTTTATTGTATTCAACTATTATAATAGTGTAAAAGTGCGACCAATGACTGATGAAGAAATTGCAAATGAACTCAATCTTAAAAGAAGAGATCGAGGATATTTCATGGAATTAAATACCACCACAGAAACTGAAGTAAAATAATTATATTTGTTTGATTGCTTCTATTCGAATACATAATTAATCATTAATATATAATTCAAGGTTTATGAAGGATTTTTAAATTGCTTAAAATGGATAAATGGAACAATGAATAATCCAAAAATATTCATCGGAGAAAACGGATTTCCCGAAGAAGATGGCATTGATGAAAGTGAAAAAAAAATTGCTTACCATTCTGTAAGCTGTATACCTATATTACATTTGATATAAATTATTTTCTTACAATATCTGATGATAGGTAGATTTAATAATATTAACAATTTTGTTGATTTGTATTTATGAAAATCACGTAGATAGTTTATCTAATGTCTAAATTATAATTTATAAACTGATATGAAATTTTTTCAGGGTATTTTAAATAAATTACTTGAAGCACTGGATGAAAACATAAATGTTTTTGGATACTGTGTTTGGTCGTTTCTAGATACTCTCGAATTCGCATTTGGTTATTGGTAATTATTTCATTTAACTAAATAATGTTTGCGTATACTTTGGAAATTGAGGCTTAAATAGATATACAGACTTACCATGCAAAATACTTAAATTTTCAATGTTATGTTATAGGAAGAAGTTTGGAATTTATGCAGTTGACTTTAATGATGAATCCAGACCACGTTCAAAAAAAAATAGTTTCGCCTTTTTTCAGCAGTTGTTCAGAACAAAGAAATTACAAATACAAAACTAGAATGAAATAACAATATATTATTAAAATTAATTAGTTACATTTTTCCATATTCACAATAATTACAATATTAAAAAGTAATAATGTAATAATTTTAATCTAATAAAAAAATTAAATAATTAAAATTGTATTCAATTGTCTGATAGTTGAAGCAGATTTTTATTCAGAAATATGTTTTCTTCTTTTAATCTTCTTCTTCTTCTTATCGTTTCCAGTTCAGGGGCTTTAGTTGCTGGCAGAGGTGGCCCTAAAAAGGGCCTTTTTGATTTTTAATGCCTATTCTATAGTAATGGTCTTAGTAAGATTAGTTCGCGATATTTGATCCTGGTATGGAGTCATATATCGCGATGCAGAGGACTCCACGTGCAGGCTCTTACCATATCCCCCTTATTTTAATCTTTATATAAATTATAAATTATTATAAAAGACAATTTCATAAATGGGTCACTGTTTAATGGAAGGTATTAAATTTGAATTCAATAATATAATATCATCGTATAAGAAAAACGATTCTTATCGAAAACCGTCAGTCAGCCTATGATATTACTAAGTATATTTGATGATATTAAGGTGAATAAAGTAATTTATATGTAAGCTATTTAAGTGGAATCTTGTTTTAAATTTTCAATCTCTAGCTATAAGAGTTGAACATTTTATTAATATTTAACTACAAAATTATTATTAAATTTTAAATGTGATAAATTTTGTGAACTTTAAACGCTTATAAAAAAAAATTGTGCTTATGTATTTTTAGCATTTTTCAACTGCTATTGTGACAATATATCAGGAGCCTTGTATTCAAATTTCACGCTTTTTTCACCTACAAATAATATTTTATTCATATTTATAGTATAGAAATCGAGTGAATATCAAATGTTGTAAAAATATGAATTTCAAACACTCATAAAAATTTAATTTGAGTTTCTTGTAGACATTTTTTTTTGATAAAGATATACAAACTTATAAGGAATTTTGAATTAAATTTTCAAATCTTAGATTTAAAAAGAAAATTTTTTTATGAATTTCTAACTCAAAATAATTTGCAAATTTTCGTATTTTTACGTATTTTGTTAATATTTGAACTTTTAATGCTTATAAAAAAAAATTTGACTATGGATTTTTAATTTTTTTCATCTGCCTTTGAAACAATATACTAGAAACCTTATTATCTTTGATAGTTGAATTTCTTATTCAGAAATAGGTTTTCTTCTTTTAATCTTTATATATATTATTATAAAAGACAATATCAGAAATAAAAATTATAAGTTTATATTTGACACGGTAGAGATTTATTGCGAATGATCAACGGTCGTATTATCGAGTCTTACAGTTGGCCAGAAATTAAATTACATTGTATTAAACGCAAGATTTACAAATGATAAGAATTATATTTTTAATTCTTTTTTTGCAGCCAAACCCAAATAAATATTTGGAAACTAATAAATATTTTTTGAACTCCATTTATAGATTTTGATTGTGACATTTTTACATTTTTCATTGTTTTTTTTTTTAAACGCATTGCCAATAATACAATTTATTTTGTTTGCCTTTTTTTTATTTCAATTGATATTCTAAATATTCTTCAAATAGAAATAATAGAATAATTTAAAAGTGTTTTTTTAAATATATTTTTAATGAAATTAAATATAAACTTAAACGTTCTTATTTTTAATTTTTATGATTATTCGATTGGTATATATAGACAGTCACATAATTTTAACGTAGTGAAGTGGCTTTCTAAAATTGGAGCTAAGTCAATATTGTTCATAACTTGAGGTTCTATCGTGAGATAGTGGAGGTACATTTTTATCCGCTGTGTATGGATTTGAACCATTTTTTTTTAAATTTTGTTTTTCATTTGAAGAACTTGCCATCTGTTTCATAGAAATATGCATAAATTTAATACCCTCGCTTGCATGCATATGTGAGTATTAGGTAACTATTACTTTTAATTATGCTAACGCTCATGTTTTTATGTATATTATAATGTATTGTGGAGCATGTTTCATTTGAAGTTTCGTCTTGTCGTCCAAGGCGCTTTATTAAATATAAATGATTACAGCGGCGAGTCGGAAACAAGGGAAGATAATAAGATTGACAGTGAAACTTTGGTAAATTGTTTAAGTTGCCCAAATGTGATAATAGCGCCTCGACGATGGAAATAACTTTGCTCGCGGTTTGCATAATGTGATAACGAGAATATCAAAATATGTTAAATATAAAACAATATACTTATCGGTATTGTATACGTACAGTCGGAATAACGAAATCGTTTTGTAAAATATATAATATATAGGTCATTATTATAATATAATATGATGCAATTTAATTACCGCTAGACCTCTCCGATAGAAAAATCGAACATTAAAATTACCTACGACTGAGGTTGGAAATATCCGACAAAAGACCGTACAACACTGTGAATGTATTATTATTCGTTAATTTTTTTTTCACTATCGCTATTTTGGCAACAAAAAAATAATGTGTATACTGCTAAATACAGTGAGTATTGTTATCGCAATATTAAACTGCACACAAAAACCAATAACAATAAATCATTATTGCGAATAGAATCGCATTGAAATCCTAACGGTTCTAATACGGACACGAATGAATCCATTCGTTTTCAAGGTTCCCTGTAAATATTATAATATTGATTGGTTGTATAGAAATCGGCCGACGGAATAATTAGGCTAAAAATCGATTTACGAAATCATATTTGAAAGTGTTGGGTAAGTATGGCGGGTATGGATCTTATAATATAGAAACGATTACCAGCGACCACATTTATATATTGTGCATTTTAATATTTTATAATGCATTAGCTGTGATAATAATAATAATATAAACGACGGTTAGGTATAACAATCGATAATGTATTATTATTAATGGGGGCGCCGATGCACAATTACGTACATCGCGAATTCACGACATTCACGCGTTCGGTTTAACCTTATTTATTATACCTATTGTATAATATAATTGTACCTATACAGTGTTATTATTATTACATTATTGGCGTGCGAACAATTAATTTAAAATCGTACAACATTGTTGTCTTGCGAGAGAGGGAAAACTCATAGTTTTGGATATCAATTATAATATTATTATAGTACGCGTTGACGATTTTTAACGGAGTTTCGAGTTTGTCCAAAGTTTTAACGACTCAGTTCGTATATAAAATTTAATACGACATAATCGGCCACCGTGCAAATCGTTAACTACTATCACTACACGCCAAAACCGAAACGGAGCTGATAATGCACATAATATTATACAACTACTGGGTCGGAATGACTCAGTGATATGTAATATCATATTAAAATAATAATAATATACCTAATTTGTGAGAGCAATCGGTGGCGATTTAGCGTCCACTACAGTAATAATATAATGTACGGGCTCGGATTGAAATGATCCAAAAATCCATCGAAAAATGCTCTAAAAATAGCCGAAAATGCCCACAAATAAATTACCAAAATAATGCTCTTAAAATTTGATATCGAAATATATTTTTTAATGCAACGTTTTATTAGTCACCTACCTAATTTATGATTTAAAATAAACTTAAAATAATTTACTATACAATTATTAAAAAAAAAAACAAAAACCGAAATTTCAAATATTTGATGACAATTTTATTAATTAATTTCATCAATTTATGTGGCGATGATGATGTTGGCTACAGACATCTTTTAGGGCTCTATTATGCAATCTGATTCTAAATCTACCAAAGTATAAACAATTATGCAAGGCTGGGCATTAACGAGTTAAAAAGTTTATTTTATTTTAAATTTTTAACTTAACTATAGTTACTTTTGGCTTTTCATTAACTTAACTGTAATTTTACAAATTTTTTTTTTTTAACTAACGTGAAATCAATGAATTAATTTTTCATTTTATGAAGTAAGTTAATCTAATTTATTTTGTTTTTAATTTTATTATATTTCACTATTTCAGTCTATTTCGTTTTCATGTCAAAAAATGTTTACCATGAATTGTTTAAGGTTAAAAATTATAACATTCGAGTCAAACTTATATGGAAATACTGTGTAAAGTATAAACATTATATAGTCTATAATTTAGTTTTGAAGTGGAAAAAAATTAATTACTATAGTGTTATTATTGCAAAATAACTTCTTCTTAACTCAATAAAAAGTTAACAAAAAGTGAGTATTAACTTTTAACTTAACTCAGTTAACAAAAAGTGAGTATTAACTTTTAACTTAACTCAGTTAACCTATAGTGAAATTAACTTTGAACTTTGAACTTTTTACTATTGGTGCATATTAACCTTAACTTAACTGAGTTAAAAAAAAAATCATTAACTTGCCGAGCCTTGCGAATATGCATTAAAACTAACAAGATTACGCGGTAAAAGTTTCACCTTGAAGTTACTCTCTCATGATAAAATTATGTACTTGGAATGCAACGTCTAAGATCACCCCAAAAAAAGATGCACTTTTCATTTAAATCTTAAGGCCCCCTAATAATAAGTAGGTAATGATTATTGCCTCGTCGTTGAATAAGCAGATAGTCCTAACCAGCAACGGTCTTGTAGAGGCGCTCGGTGCCAAAGTAATTTTGTCCACTGCTAAAATACTAGGATAATGATCGTGTTCTAGTGTTCTGTAAAATCAACCAAAATTAATATATTTTTTTAAACTAATAAAATGTAATATTTTAAAATCCACATGAAACTCCGTTTTTCCAATATTTTAATTTCAAACTTTATCATAATACGTCTTCAAAATTTTATCAGAAAGCAGTTTAGGGTTTTGAAAAAAAAAACTCTTGTATAGATTTATTATATTATCTACAATATTGTTAATATATATTAACAGTTATAGCTGTTGAGGGTCCCAAGGTGCATCACTCTACCCATTATTCAAAAAAAAAAAATTAAATATCGGAATTCAATGCGGTCTGAAAAAGCCTTATTCCTTCAGATAAAAAAAAAACAGTTTTCAAAATGACGAAATCCGACAGTTCTACAATATTCA